CGAAATCCCTAGAGTTCCTTTGTAGCTCAGAAACGTACGGTTGTGACATTCAGGCACGTACGTGGCCGTCACCCGCAGGCTAGACCCTTGGTCTCATCCCAAGTCCTCGCTAAACTCTCTTGGAACTCTTAGGACATGCAACACAACATATCTATATGGTTGTTGCCTCATGCAAAGCCCCTCTGTCTGATGCTCCTTCACAATGCATCGTCAGTACACGTCGCCTACGCAACTGACACTCGTCCTGCCGCCTTATAGCACGCAGTACTCATGGATGGCATGACCCCCAAAATGCGGGGTATGACACTCTACCTCCTTTTTTCTTTTAAGGAGTCATATCAACTCCACCTCTTTGTACACCTCTGCTTTATAAGTCAAAAATTTTATATGGAAATTTGAAGAGTCAAGCTTGGGTAAATGTAGAAGATTTGCAATTGGAAGTTATAGAAGATAAAAAGTTAGTTTCGAGAAAAATGCGATACATCTATTATATTTGAAAGGTTAACTCGATGAACTTTAAAATGCATGCAAATTGATAAATAGCAAGAGCATTATATACTTTAAGAGCAATCTGACGTCCAGAAAAGTCAAAAATATCAAAAGCTGGTAACAATGGAATCTGAGGGAGTTGCTGGCTTCCGTCTATAGCCAAAATGGAGCAAATTGACTAACAATGGTCATTGTTCTTTCACTTTAGATTCAAGCTTTAAAATCCCTATTCTACCTGCAGAACTCATCAACAAAATCCTATTAAGGCTGCTAGTGAAATCCCTTTTGAAATTCAGGTGTGTTTCAAAATCTTGGTTTGCTTTTGTCGAGATTGTAACTAAAAGAATGAATCAACCTCCATTGAAGGTTGAGCTTGAGCTCTCATCACGAGAGGAGAAGAATCTTGTGGATAGAGAATAAAATTGGGTAAAATAGTGTACTTTCCTATTCAATTGAAGTAGCACTTATACACGTGAGAAAAGAGAGTAAGTAATGTAACTACTAATTACTAAACTACCCCTATAACTAAGTCAACTACTAACCTCGGAAGTCTAATAACTAACTAAAATCAATACAACATAAATAATACTAACTACACTTGATAATACTCAATAATCTTAATACCCCACCTCGAGTTGGAGGTGATGAACTCACTGCCAACTTACCAAGAAGGTCATAATGCTTGATCCCTATAAGTGCTTTTGTTAAGATGTCTGCCAGCTGGTTATGAGTAGAATTGTGATGAAGTGTAATCAAACCATCATGCAACTTGTCTCTCACAAAGTGACAATCTACCTCTATATGCTTTGTCATCTCGTAGAATACAAGGTTTGTAGCAATGTGCACGGCTACTTGATTGTCACAGAAAACTGGGATAGGGGCATCACAAGAGACTATCAACTCTTCTAGCAATCTTTTGACCCATACCAACTCACCGACCACCTTCCTCAATGATCTGTACTCTGCTTCTGCAGAAGACAATGAGATAGTGGTCTGCTTCTTTGATTTCCAACTGATTGGGTTGCCTCTAAGGAGCACAAGATACCCTCTCACAGACCTCCTGGAATCAGGGCATGCAGCCCAATCTGAGTCACAATAAGTTGTGACTTCATAAGAAGAATCATTAGACAAAAAGATGCCTAAGGTAGAATCAGCCTTCAGGTATCTAAGTACATGTATGGCAGTCTTGAGATGAGGTTCTCTTGGTGTTTGCATGAACTGACCCATGTGCTGCACACTGTAGGCAATGTCTAGTCTTGTGCTTGTGAGAAAATTGAGCTTCCCCATTAGCTTCCTATAATATGTTGGATCAGATAATAAGGTGCCTCTTCAGCTTTGATTTTGGTTGATGAATCAAGTGGAGATGATATATAAGAATATCCCAGGCAGTCATACTCTTTTAACAGAATTTCCTCTGATAAATCAATACTACATCATCCTTGTAAAGCATCTTTAGTCCCAAGAAATAGTGTAGATTGCCTAAGTCTTTTATTCTAAAATGATTGTGCAAAAATGTCTTTAGTGCTGTGATTTCTTCAAGGTCGGTCCTAGTAAGGATCATATCATTAACATATAATTCCACAAAAAATGATGAACTACCTTGTTTCTTGTAGAATAAAGAGTAGTAATTTGATGACCTCTAGAATGTAACACTCTGCCAGCTTATCATACCACTGTCTACTGGCTTGTTTGAGGCCATGTAAGGACTTTCTTAGTCTGCACACAAGTGATGTATTCTCCACCATCATACCTTGTGGGATTTGCATACACTTCTTCATGTAGATCTCCGTGAAGGAAAACATTATTCATATCCAGCTGATAAAGATCCCATCCTCTCTTTACTGCAATGCTAATTAAGGTCCTAGTAGTGGTCATCTTCACTATTGGAGAAAAGGTTTCTGTGTAATAAACTCCAGCCTCCTATGTGTATCCTTCTACCACAAGCCTTACCTTGTATTTTTCCACACTACCATCTGCTTTGTGCTTGATTTAGTACACCCACTTGCACCCTATAGCTTTTTTTCCTGCAGGCAAATAAACTAAATCCTAAGTATGATTAGCATATAAAGCTTCAAACTCTTGTGTCATTGCTACTTGCCAGGCAGGATTCATAGATGCTTCCTCATAAGAGTTGGTTCACACTCATGTGAAATGTTCTTCACTAGCTGCTAACTATCATGACTTAAAGCATTAAAGGATACAAAATGACTGTTGGTAAAAAGAGCAGTGAGTGATGTAGGTGAAGAGGGAACTGGTTGGTGTTCAGGATTTATACTATTGCTTAAATGGTTATATGGTTGCAGATTAGGCAGTGTACACACATAGTCTTTAAGGTGAGAAGGGGTGATGAGTATTATGCATGATCTCCTATGTTGTATAGGATTAGCTTGGTTGTTATCAGGTTCCATATGATGTATCTGTTCAAAAGATGATACATGTTTCTAAATGATTTTCAGCTATAGGACTGTCAGTGTGGGTTCTGTTATCTGATTTTGGGCTGATTTGTAAGTTATGGTTATCTAGGCTTAAAGAATTTGGTGATGTATTTGTAAATGGTGATTGTGTATCTTCAGATATAGGACTGCTAGTGGCACAAGTTGATACATTTCTATCTTCAGATATAGGACTACTAGTGGCAGAAGTTGATGCATTTCTACTAAGAGTACAATGATTATCAGAAGTATTCACTATGGTGTTTGGACAAGAAGAATTAGAATTTACCATATGCAAGACAGAAGGGAAAGAAGAATGTTCAGGTGAAATGGCAAAAGGAAACACATCTTCATGGAACAAAACATCTCTAGATACATGCACTATTTTTGTGGCTAGGTCCAAGACCTTATATCCCTTCACCCCAAAGGGATACCCTAAAAACACATGGGTAGTAGCCATTGGTTTGAATTTGTCTTCGTGAGTCTTGAGTGTGGTGGTGTAACATAAGCAACCAAAGCTTTTAAGGTGTGAGTAGGTTGGTTTTCTGTTGTAAAGAAGCTCAAAAAGGCATTTGTTATTGAGGAATGTGGAGGAAAATCTATTTATCAGATAGGTGCCAGTTAGGATACACTCCCCCAATATCTCATTGGTTGGATTGATAAAGCAAGGCCCTTGCAGTTTCTAGTAAATATTTGTGTTTTCTTTCCACTACACCATTCTGTTGCGATGTGTATGAGCAGGTTTTCTGGTAAATTATGGCTTTGTCTTGAAAAAATAGCATGGCCTCACTATTTGCAAATTCCAGTCCATTATCAGATCTAACAACTTTGACTGAAGAATTAAACTGGTTTTCAATCATAAGATGAGGGCTTTAATGGCTTAAAGGGTGTTGCTTTTAATGCTTAGAAGATGTGTACAGGTTGATATGCTAAATTTATCAACCATGGCAAGGAAATATTTGTAGTTATCATGTGTGACTATGTGATAGGGGCCCCATAAGTCTATGTGTAAAAGTTCAAAGGTTTTGGTAGTGGGTGATGTTTTCTGGGGAAATGGTAGTCTTGTCTGCCTTGCCATGAGGCAGACAGTACAAAAGAAAGGTTGTTCGGGAGAAAAATTACTAGGTATGGTAGAGATCCTTCTCGTTTTCACAAAGGGTACATGTACTAGTCTGTTGTGCCACAGATGTTCAACATTGTCCCTATGAGATGCAATAGATAACACAAAGGAATTCATACCAAATGAGGATTCAGTTTTATTACTTGAATGAAGTCTATTTACATTGTTGAGTGATTTATTTTACAGTTGAAAATGAATGTAAAGGCAGACCGTGACTCTCTCCTTTATTTAAAACATCAACTAATGCAGGAAAGTAGGAATGATAACAAAAAGTAGCAGGAATAGAAGATATACTAGACTTTGGACAACCGTGACACTTTGATCATGGGAAGTACAAACCATGCTTTGCTTTACCAATCTCCAGAGGCCTCTTTATTGAAGGGGCATGCATCATGCAGAGATATTTGTTAAAATTAACTATGCAATTGAGGTGGTCTATTAAAGAGTGAATAGAGATGAGGTTGTACTTGAAACTAGGTACATACAACACTCTGACTAAAGTTAACATAGGACCAAGAAATGCATCCCCAATTTCTGTCACTTTCACCCTATATCCATTAGGTAATGTAACTAGAAAAGGATAAGATAAGGTTCTAATGTTATTCAGAAAAGATTTTTTATTTGTCATGTGATTTGAAGCCCCACTATCTAATATCCACAGGTCAGCAATTGATTTAAATCATTTACACACAGTGGTCTCAGCAATCTGTTTATAAGTAGAACAAGCTAGAATACCTGCAAAGTTTGTAGCTCCACATGCTATGTTGTTTGAGCTTTCCCCTGTGTTTCTTCCTGGAAATTTCTCCAATAGGTTGAGCAGCTGATTGTATTGCTCTTTTGCCAAGTGTTGAAATCCCTGATCATGATTTCCACCTTCAACCTCTTCACATTCTGCATGAACATTTGCAACAAATGGTGCATTCCTTCCTTTTATGAAACTTAGAATCCCGTGGAAAGCCATGTATCTTGTAGTAATTATCCCTGGTGTTCCCTGGCTTTTTGCAGTAGTCACAGAACAATCGAGACTTGGCAGGTGGATAACTTGGCTTGTTTGAATTATATGAGTTGTGAGCAGTACCATTTCCTCTTTGATTGTAATTTGTCCTAAACTTGTTATTCCTAGGTCCATTTACATTCAATGAAGTGGACTCCATAACCAATCTGTTGCTTGGCCTGAATTTTCTCAGCTTCTATTCCTGAATGAGAATGGAGAAGGCCTGTGCTATATTGGGCAGTGGATTCATCACAATTATGCACTATTTTGTAGACTTCGTTTAAGCCCATTAGGAACTGAATCATTCTTTGATCCTACTCAGCCTTGTGCATATTAGCCTTTGCACCACAAGTACATTGACAATTGCACTGCGCATGTGCATTCAGGGTATTCAATTCCTCCTAAAGTCTTTTTATTTTTGTGTAATACCTTGTGATGTCTAAAGCCCTTTGGCTAAGGTCGTTAATTTCCTTCTGTAATTGATACAACTTAGCTCCATTAGTTTGATCATATCTATCTTCCAGTTCTTGCCATAATTCCTTGGCATAACTGACATATTGTAGACTGTCAGCTAGGTCCTTTGAAAGTGAGTTTAGGATCCACGATGTGACCATGTCGTCGCATCACGCCCACTGATCATAGGTTGTATCCTCATCACTAAGTTTATTACATTTCCCAGTAATGAATCCAACCCTGTTCTTCACGAAAATGCTCTAAGAACTCATCTTCTCTAAGATCTGTACCCTGTTCCATTGAAGGCAACGGGTACCAGTGTCGTTCCGGCACTCTCCGATGGGTGCATGTACAACGGGTTGGTCGTATTCTGAGTTTCCTTATCTTCAGCCATCAATTGAGAACGAGTCCTAGACGACTAGAAGAATTAATCTCTGAATTTGAGGAAAAATCAAAGATTTTCAAAACCCTAGCGACGAACTATGAAATGTAGATTTTGATTTTTGCAAAACTAAAAACTGAGATTGAATGATGAGATTTGACCAAAATGAAGAGAAAGCCGATTAAAAATTCGAGCTGAGCTTTGATACCATGTCGAGGTTGTAACTAAAAGAATGAATCAGCCTCCATTGAAGGTTGAGCTTGAGCTCTCATCGTGAGACGAGAAGAAGCTTCTGGAAAGAGAATGAAATTGGGAAAAATAGTGTACTTTCCTATTCACATGAAGTAATACTTATACACGTGAGAAAAGAGAGTAAGTAATGTAACTATTAATTACTAAACTACCCCTGTAACTAACTCAACTACTAACCTCTTAAGTCTAGTAACTAACTGAAATCAATACAACATAAATAATACTACTACACTTGGTAATACTCGATAATCTCAATAGCTCTAATCTATAGCCCCTAATTTGTCAACACTCATCTCAGTTTATCCGCTAAAAACGAGTACTACATCTACTATAGGCTTATAATTGGGTTAGATCTACCTGAGTACAGTCTTAATGACTGTTCCCTTAGTTCTTTACTTTATCGATCTGTTACTAGGGCTTCTTACTTGGATTATCCTATGAGAAAACCCCAAAAATCTGTTGAGATTGTGGGTTCTGTTAATGGGTTGATTTTTCTTGCCATCGAGGAAAATGATTGTTTATTTGGAATCCTTCAATTAGGAAGTTTAAGAAACTGCCTGATTGTGGTGTTGCTGGTTACTATTTCATGTTTGGTTTTGGATATGATGTGCTTCATGATGATTATAAGGTAGTGGGTATTTACCGCAATTTGAGTTATAAAGGTTTGCATAATGTTGAGATCAAATTATATAGTCTAGATAGTGATTCTTGGAGAAGTATAGATGATTTTCAGACCGGGATGCTCTTCATTAAGTCGGGTATATTTGTGAATGGGAAGCTTCATTGGGCTAATACTACCTCTCGCAATCCTTCTTATAAGGGTTGGGACATAATTTCTATTAATGTAGCTGATGGAAAATGGGTGAAGGTGGAGAAACCTTGCTATGGAAAAAGAGATTTTGATTTTAGTCCGTGCCTAGGAGTCTTGGGAAGTGATCTTTCTGTGTTTTGTAATATTCGGAAGACTCATACAAATGTATGGGTTATGAAGGACTACAAGGTTAAAGAATCTCGGACAAAGATGTTTACCATCAAGTGTCATTTTGATTCTGAGGATTATCTCTTTCATCCACCCTTTTATATTTCAAATGAAGGCGGAATTTTGTTTGAGATTGGATCAATTTTCATGATTTACAATCCAATGGATGACTCAATCAGATATCCAGGGGTTACCAACTATTATGCTTTTTTTGGCAAAGATCTACATTGAAAGCTAGTTTGGCCCTTTTTGGCAGAAGGTACAAGGGATGAAACAACAACCTAGGTTGAAAAGATCAGATGAAGACATTCTTGTAATTGTTAACTAGTAAGAGTTCCCTATGCATGGTTCTCAAGTGCTGTTAAATTCTGTTTCTTTTATCAAACATACAACAAGACACTGCATATTACGAACATCTATGAACCATATGTGCTTGGAGATCTTGTTAGTCTTTTTCCTTTTTGTTTCATAATACAACAGTTTCTTTGCAAGGACGGTTATATGGTTGAAGTGCTTGGTCTCTTCATCTTCATGCTAAATGGGACTCTACGTTGTTTCTCTTCTTGACCAGTACTTTAGGGGGGTGTTGTGTCTCTAGTCAGAGTAAGAATAAAGAGCACCAGGAACATGGAAATCATGGCAGGAATGTGCCAATAACACCTATGTGTAGCCCTTGCTAGGGTAATTGCTAGATCTAGAGCCCTCCTTCAATAATGTTCTTTAGGTGAAAAAGTTTTAGGGGAAAGGGAGGAGATGTAGGGATTATGGAACAACTGTGAAGGTCTGACATAGTGTCTAGTTTTGGGTATTTTTCCTTGCTGCTAATAGCTAATTGCTTCATTTTTTGACACTAGTTTGGTGTTTTTGGTGCTTCTAATAGCTAACAGCATATTTTCTTTGGGGCTGTTTTTTTAAATATTTTACTTAGTTGGTCAACCAAAGACGAAATCGCCTTTTTTATTTATTCATATTAGATGAAGTAAATTTCATTAAATAAGTACCTAAGAGGTTCTAAAAGCATACAAAGTTACATCACAGTCGTTACAGTTACATTCTCGAAACTTCTATAAAATCCATATACTGAAATAGATTCTCTACAATGCTTCTCCTGCACAAAAAATACATATATTAGAGTGTTGCGGCCAAACACACGCAAGTATACTCTGTCGTCAAGTAATAAAGTGACTAAAAGTCGGATGTCGAACCCACGAGGACTTGTGATTAACTATTAACTAGATTAGACTATCCTAATTATCTAAATAAGAATTAAACCTAGAAATATTCGATTCTAAACTAATCAAAATAAAGGAAAATAAATGGTGAACTCCGAACAAGGGAAAAACAGATTTTTATAATTCCTATAAATCAACCAAGCAAGGCAATTAGGTATATGTCTATCCTAATCGCGAATCCATTCCCCGATGCCCGGATTCAAGGACTTGCTCTGCTCAATCCTATCTGCAATCTAGAATTCCCACTTTCGAGTTCAACTCTAGATTCGTAGATAGTATTCAATTGGTGATCAAACAATTAAATAATTAAGCACAAGATTGAATAAATAAACCAATATGATAAATCAAGAAAGCAAAATCAATATCCGAATAACAATAGTCATGAAAGAACCACAACCCTAGAATGTAAAGTTTAGCTCCACATATACATGGTAGCCAAACAACAGATCATACAAAGAAACATAAAAATTACTAAGTTTGGTGGAAGAAAGATGGAACTTGATGAATTCTGAACTCCACGGCGGCTCTGTGATTGTGTTTTTCTCTAAAAAACGTCCTCCTCCCAAAATAGGTTTAAGACCCCTTTTATACGAGTTGAGACCATGTAGGACCGAAATAACCTTATACCGGGCGAAATAGGATCGAGCGTCCAGGGTAGCGCCTAGCGCTGGCGCTAAATCTAGTAACGTTGTTGCCACTTAGTTTCTTCTTTCTTTACATCTTTGCATATTTCCATCAATGCATCATAATGATACAATCATTAGGCCCACTACATAGTAATACCATTTTGATCTATTTAGGTAAATTCCGCAAGCAATTCACAACGAGCTCTCACTACTTCAGTGAATATATTTTCTGCACCAACTTAGTGTACTTTTCTGCGCCTCTTACCCTTTTCCTTTCAAATCACTTTCCGTTGGCTCCTACATATAACAACACTAAAATTTAGTTTAATATATTGCAATTACACATTAGAACCAACAACAATAGAGTAAGATGTGAAGCAATTCATATATAAAAATACATATTTATGGCCGAACATCATGGAGGCACCTATTCTTTACAAAACAGATGATTTTTTTAATTTCAAAAAAAAAATGAAATTAATCAATCAAAAAATGCATGAAATGTTATAGATTTGTGAAGATTATATGCAGCTAATCCAAACAAGCAAGAATTTCGAGCAGTGAGAGTATGAACAGTAGTTTTAGGGCTCTGAGGATTCAAAGTTCGAAAAGTGTAAACTGAGGCCCTTGGGCTCTATTTATAGAAAATGATGCGGGACCCATCCTCACCTACCAATCCTAATCGCGAATCCATTCCCCGATGCCCGGATTCAAGGACTTGCTCTGCTCAATCCTATCTGCAATCTAGAATTCCCACTTTCGAGTTCAACTCTAGATTCGTAGATAGTATTCAATTGGTGATCAAACAATTAAATAATTAAGCACAAGATTGAATAAATAAACCAATATGATAAATCAAGAAAGCAAAATCAATATCCGAATAACAATAGTCATGAAAGAACCACAACCCTAGAATGTAAAGTTTAGCTCCACATATACATGGTAGCCAAACAACAGATCATACAAAGAAACATAAAAATTACTAAGTTTGGTGGAAGAAAGATGGAACTTGATGAATTCTGAACTCCACGGCGGCTCTGTGATTGTGTTTTTCTCTAAAAAACGTCCTCCTCTCCCAAAATAGGTTTAAGACCCCTTTTATACGAGTTGAGACCATGTAGGACCGAAATAACCTTATACCGGGCGAAATAGGATCGAGCGTCCAGGGTAGCGCCTAGCGCTGGCGCTAAATCTAGTAACGTTGTTGCCACTTAGTTTCTTCTTTCTTTACATCTTTGCATATTTCCATCAATGCATCATAATGATACAATCATTAGGCCCACTACATAGTAATACCATTTTGATCTATTTAGGTAAATTCCGCAAGCAATTCACAACGAGCTCTCACTACTTCAGTGAATATATTTTCTGCACCAACTTAGTGTACTTTTCTGCGCCTCTTACCCTTTTCCTTTCAAATCACTTTCCGTTGGCTCCTACATATAACAACACTAAAATTTAGTTTAATATATTGCAATTACACATTAGAACCAACAACAATAGAGTAAGATGTGAAGCAATTCATATATAAAAATACATATTTATGGCCGAACATCATGGAGGCACCTATTCTTTACAAAACAGATGATTTTTTTAATTTCAAAACATCTCTCCTTTCTTCGGCCGTTCTGAAAAATATATAAAAGTGGACCTCTTTCTTTATGCAAGATTGCTTTGAGCCGAGGATTTATCGAAAACAGCTTTTTCACCTGCACAAAGTAGGGGTAAGACTGCATACTTTGTACCTATATATATATATATATATTACTACTATTTAGAAATGGGAGTTGAGAAGGACGAACAATGGCAAACCTGTAATTTTAATATTTATTTGGGGCAAATTAGTAACTAAAATTACACCTATCATGTACATATGTTTTCTTCGTTCATATCGATTGATTTTAGAATACACTTCTGAGCTCTATTTTCTCTCTCACACAGACGTCTTTTTGTTTCCTTCCCTTCTCTGCTTATAGCCTTCGTGACTCACTAACTGGTCATAGTTTTCAAATTTCTCTGCTTTGGTTCGAGATTGTCTTGTGTGGTTGGATTCTTGAGTTGCGGTAAGTTTTTTCCTTATTCTTTATTCGCACTCTCCCTATTCCCTGCTTGCCCTACTAGATTGAAACTGTATTGAACAAAAGTTTTTTTTTTCTTGTGTGCTTGGAATATATGCATTTATATACCTCTTTGACTCTTCTTTGTTTACTTGACTTTCTTCAATTCATCAAATAAATTTTTTTTAATTAATGCATTTTGATTTTATTATTTTTCATGTTTCATGTTTTTGTTATTTTTTTTGGGTTTCCTATTTTTACAATGCATGTCATTTCCAGTTTGATTTTTGGTAGTTCCGGCAGCCCTAAGCATTTCTGGGTGATCGTGATTGGCTCTTTTCTAGGTTAACAATTTATTTTATGTTACTTTTGCTAAGTTTCGTTGTGAGTTCTGCAATTCAATTTCTATTCAAGGTTTGGACGAACTATTTTGCCGTAATTTTAACTTAATTCTAAGTAGTTTTTGTTATTACCCGTAATTAACATATTGAGATTCAAAATGCTTCTGTTTCCTGAATTATATTATTATTTTAATTAGTTGAGTTAAGATTGAGGTGCAATTAATGGATTAATGTTCTCTGTTTTTTGTGTGCGTGTTGACTTGGTTGATTGATGGTTGCAGGTAAAGGGAATATTTTTGGCTTAGACGTGAGATCAGATTATATGAAACATTAAATTTGACTCCTGGCTGAAGAACTCACAAGAATGTGAAATTTATTTTAATTTGAGACAATCGTTGCTATTGATAGGACTCATTAGACCCTCTTTGTTTTGAAAGTTTGAAGCTTAGACAATTTGTGACAGTTGTCGTCCTTTAAGACAATCCCTCGAACAGTGGTGATTGAAGCTCGGGAGCAATGAATCTTGAACTCTATTGAACACATGTCTATCTGCTTCAGGCTATGTTCATGTATATGTGAAACATATAAAATAAGTTTTTCGTATTGGATGTTTAAAATGCTAGCCTTTTGTTTTAATTAGCTTTATGGTTTCTGTTGATCTTGAATGAAACTGGTGTTCATATTTTGAGGTGAGATTTTGTATATCTCTAACTTTACCTAGAGTTTACCTTTTTATAATTTGGGTTCTTCTCTTACTACACCTATGAACTGCTTACCCTGCACTGTATATTGTCTTTTCTCTTTAATTTTTTATTGGTTATTTATTTGAAAAAGGCCTAAATTTGTAGTATTTCTAATTGCTACTCGCTTTCTCTGAGCGTACTTCAATTGATTTCCATAAGCTGAAAGTATATTATTTGTGTTGTCGTAAATATGACATACTTTGAGGACATTGCTAATTCCCAAGAAGATATCAGCTGATGATGTAAGAAGTGGGAGTATAGGCAAACAAACATCATCCTTTTTTTTTGTGCCTGTCTCTGCATTGTTTCTTAACTCCAACTTTTCTTGATTCACAGAGTATAAAATTTGCTAACTCCATATTAATAATTGGAGGAGGGCCAACAAGTGTGGAGTTAGCTGCTGAAATTGCTGTTGATTTTCCTGATAAGAAAGTGACACTGGTGCACAAGGGATCAAGATTGTTAGAATTCGTCGGAGAAAGTGCCAGCAGCAAGACTCTGAATTGGCTTACTTCAAAGAAAGTTGAAATCATCTTAGGTCAATCTGTCGATTTGAACTCTACGTCTGATGGTGTTAATCGAACATCGGGTAAAGAAAACACAGTTGCTGATTGCCATTTTATTTGTATTGGAACACAAATTGGTTCAACATGACTAAACGAAATAATTTTGAATGACAGTTTGGACAGTCATGGCAGGCTAATGGTTGATTCAAATTTAAGGGTCAAAGGTTACTACAATATTTTGGCATTCGAGATATAGCTGTGTTCCAGTAAGTAATTCAATCTTTTCTCAACCTCTTAAATATTTCTTAGTTTGCAATATAATATTGTATATGAAGCAAATCTTTTGTGTCATACCATTTCTTTTCCTAAAGATATCATATGATTGTGATGGCACAATTTGCCAATTTAGAAGTTAGGCAGAGAGTAAATAACCTAAAAGGTAGGTTGTAGCAATAGTAGCTACATATGCTTCCTGAATCCTTGTAAAGTACTCCTTGGTTGTAAGATAGTAATCAACCATGATACCAAGTAATGGCTCTGAGACAACTGCGTGCATACCTTTCAGAAAGATGATATTAATTATTTGATATAAATGAAGTAGGGGAAGTGTCTAATTCCTCATCCAACTCATCGGAATGAGCAGCATCAGCACTAGAAAGACGAGATCCATATGCGGAGGGTACCTAGGCCTCCATCTGTAGTATGAAATTCGCTGCTACAGTTATCTGGTGAGTTTTATTCTCCCCTTATTTTATATTTTTTGGCCTTAGTTTTTCCCAAGTTGTTTTACACATATATGGATTTCTTCAGGTAGTAATTTGATTTTCGTCCTCTTTCTTCATGCCCATCAATAGATTAAATGGAATTTCAATTGCAAAGGCATGATTGTGCAGCTTCAAAAAATGCTAATGATTAGGGAAACTTTGTGATATATATTGCTTTTGCTCCTAGGAAGTTGGTTTAGGAAGGGGGTAACAATGTCCGTTCTACTGGTTCTACGGACTCTGTTTGGCACTTTGAACTGTTTACTTTATCTTTCCAAACATGTTGTATTTTGAATCTCATCAAACATCACCTCAATCCACTCTTGACTCACTTAGCTGGTGTTATGCCTCTACAATTTTGTGACTCAAACTTTGGTGGCTTAAGACATTTAAACAAAGAGAAATAGTAGCATGATAAAATATTTTGGTTGAATGTGACAACAATTCAGTTTCACTAATCGGGGCATAGGTGAATGGGCAGTGTGCACAAAATATCTCGCATTCACGTAGGGTCCGGGGAAGGGCCGCACCCAAGGAGTGTGATGTAGACACCCTAACCCAATTGGGGCATTGGTGAATGAAATGGTTCAAATGATCTTTCTAATTAGTTGGCCCTCTTATCTTCTTCCCTTTGCGGTACAGAAATCGGGTAGTCTAAATTTATAATAACAGTATTACAAATCAGAATAACTTAAATTAGGACCAATAAGGAGAAGTTCATGACCTTTTCAATTTTCTCTGATAATAGTTTGGTTGATTTTAGTTGTTATGTGGTTAAGAGTAGTAACTCTACTTGATAAAGGCCTAAATTTATGTTTCTAATTGCTACTCGCTTTCTCTGATAATAACTTGGTTGATTTTAATTGTTCGGTGGTTAAGAATGGTAATTCCAAACGTTACACTTTTCGCATAGTTAAGATTAGTATGACATTGGCATTGCAACCGTGTAATTGAGTCGTCAGGTTTAAAGATATATGTAGTCGACAGGTTTTTTCTTTCTTAATTCTCAATAAGTGTCTTAATTTGTACTCTAATTTGCCTTCTTTGGTTAAACTTTCTGAGTGAATTTTTTTGGATAGTTAGGCTGCCTTTGAAAAATAATAGAGTATTGATTCGTTCTTGCTCCATATACTGCCATGTTTTGGACATAAATCGACCACGCTTTACCCAGGAAGAAATATGATAACTATGCTGTACTATTGTTAAACCAGTGACTTTTCTTCTTTCACTTTGGTCAAATTTGTTTGTTTGGCTAAACAAGATGGGTGAAGAATGCTTAATCGGGAATGTATCTTGAAAAAATTAACGTAGTAGAGAAAGGACAAAGCACATGAAATTCATTGATCTTTGTAGATATTTACATCTATTTGGGTTTGACATTTTATCTTCATTTGGGTTAAGAAGAGGAACTTTTCTTCTGAGTAGAAAATGGTTGTAATTCAATGATATCTTTCTAGGGTAAGGACCAAAATATTATAGAAAATGTTGGTATTTCAATGGCCTCCAATAATGCATTGTTCCAGGTAAAATTTCAGATTTCGATGTGTTCTTACTCAAAAGATAGTCTTTATCCTTATTATCTTTTTTGAATTTTACATTTACTCGGCATGTAATCAACAAGTTATGATTCCACAAAATACTATGTCGAGGTGATGCCATATTTAAAAACTATACTGGCGAATGTAAGTGATAAATCTTATAAATCATGAGTTGAAGAAGTTCACCTACCAGACACAAGTTATTCAACGTACATGTGTTAACATATTTATTAATTTTCCTTTTTGTTCTTTTACATTGTCTCCTACAGCTTCTCAACAAGCAATTACATCTTTTGGTGTTTGAGCCTGCTTTGAAACCTTGCAGGTTCCTCCATCTCAAGAGAAAATGTTCAACTATTTTCATCCTCCACTGGAATTGCATCAACTTTAGAGAGTGAATATGTTTAGTTTGTAAACTCTCTAAGTTTTATTATTATAACTTAAATAATTGTACATAAAATATGTGTTGTATATGTTGCTATGATACAATCAGTAACAATTATGATATTATAAAGTTATCATATGTTGTTCACAATCTTTCACTATATACTTCACAAATTAATCATGTTGGGCCCGTGCATAGCACGGGCTTACCTTACTAGTATATGTATATATGTATGTACGTACACTCAAAATAGCATTACAATCCTTACCTCAATACTAGACATTGACCCTTGGTCAAACTATCTTTTACCTGGGACGTTGTGGTTAAAAAATTTCTATGAAATTGGAAAAATTCACAAATCTAATTTCTATATGCTATCATTGTAGTTGTGATCAGGGATGGCAAGCTGTGCAGGTGCAGGGCGGGTTCTATCTTAACCTGCAAAATCTCAACCCGCCCCGCCCCGCCCCACATAGCTCTTTTAACTTGTATCCATCCGCCTCGCACGACACCCGTGTTCACCCGCCACGCCCCACAAATTTTTTTCTTCTTTTCAATTTGTCTTATTTTTATTTTTGCTCATCAATTATAAGCATACAAAAGTTAAACAGTAACCATTTAAATTTAGATTCTTTAACATTAACCATACAAATTCAGCTCTAACCAGAGATATTAACAACAAATAAAACTTAATTAGATTCTTTCTTTTGTTTTTATTTGTTTGTCAATTTGCATTTAGGGTATTTGATGAAATCCCATTGCTGTTTGAATTCTGATTAGTACTCATCTACCAAGTGATAGAACTATCACAATATAACGAACAATCGTAATCTCCAACTATCTTGTGTTTACTTATTAATTTAATACTAACTTGGAAACGGTCACTTCCTTTGGCAAATTTTGTTTCTTTTCAAAAGTTATGAAATTTTTTACTCTGGTTTTAATAAGTACTGTATTTATTATGGGAAAGATGAAAGAATTTTTGACATACCTACGTTATTAGCGTTACACTAGAACAATATTTGTGTCGGACACTATGTAAAAGTCTTTGACCATCCTTTTCACTCTAGCTTGTTTTCATTCTCTCTAGCTAGCTCTCTACTTGCATACCTAGCTAACCCCCACACCTGCACCCGCAAGAAATTAAATTTCTTTTATTTTAACCCGCCTTGCACCCGCATATGTACAAACCCGCCCCGCCATGCATATGTCTAAACCCGCACTGCACCTGCACTGCCCCATTGCCCTCCTTAGTTGTGATCGCATAACTTATGCTTATGATCGCGATAAAACACTATTGGCCCTAGGGTAGCGCAAAGGTGTGATTGCAAAGCCAATCTTGCGATTACTGCCCCTTCAATCGCAGCTCATATCCAACGATTGTAGGAAAAAGTCCTTGTTCCACTAGCCTACTCTCTATTGCTATCACACCGCAAGCTTGTGATTGCAACCTGCACTAGATTATATTTTTTCGAATTGAACAATTTTCAAAATGCGGCATAAACCCTGGAAACTCTACCCAAAAAAGGTGAAGAGAAGTCAATGTATTTTCTCCTTTCATGCTTGGAGGGCCAACAAAGAGGCAGAAGCAAGCCGAAGAACGGAAGAAGTATTGGGGAGAGGTGATTAGGCAAGATATGGCGTTGCTCTAGCTTACCGAGGACATGGCCATGGATAGGAAGGTGTGGAAGTTGCGTATAAAGGTAAAATGAGTGTTGTCCTTGTTTGTAACGGTAGCTTTGATACACCTCTGAGTGTCTTTCGTGTATTTTCGTATTTCTAGACTTCTGTTACTACTTGTTGTTGTCTTTGTTTCGCTTTTCTAATTGTATTACTTAGTGTTAGTTTTGTATTTTAGCTTCGGTTGTCTGATTGGTTTGCTTGTTATTGCCCCTCCCCTTTTTCCTTCCTCAGTCGAGGGTCTACCGGAAACAGCCTCTCTGCCTTTTAAAGGCAGTGGTAAGGTCTGCGTACATTCAACCCTCCCTATACCCCACTATACTAGGTATGTTGTTGTTGTTGTTGTTGTAAGCACCTAGTCAACAAACATTCTCCTATCTGAACGACAGCTAGTCAACAGACATTCTCCTATATGAACTCGGTAGGTGTATTGGTCAAAATTTGGACTGGACTTAATAACTACAAATGGACGTGGTCGAGGATTAAGCCGACCACGGCACAATGGCGAGGAGTCGTCTTAAGAAGGATTAGTGCCGAGGTCAAGTAAAGAGTGTACGGAAATAACGGTAGAATAAGTTTAGAATAGAAAGAAGGAATATTCCGTTGGATAATTCTTTCAGTTGTACTTTTTAGGGTTTCTTAGGAATATCCCTTATAAATAGGAAGAGATAAAGAACAAAAAGGGGATCTCCACTTTTGGGATAAGAACACATTGTAAAGGTTGACTACAGAGAATATACAAAGCTTGTCTTGTCCACTGATTCCATTATTCTACACATATCTTTTACTCACAAGATCCAAAGATCTCTTGTCTACCTTCATTTTATATTGTCCCCACGTTGTTGTGAGGAAGGAGAATCATACAAGTCATCTAACATTTGGGTGACAAGTTCCTTCTTATTACATTTATTGCCATTATCTATATTCATTGCAAGCTTTCTTTATTGCATTCATTGACAACCACTGAGCACTCTTAATTGGCATTCAATATTATCGGACACGGTTCTACATCGTTAATGCTTTAAGTCTTCATATCTAGCAGTTATTAAATTTAACTAGGATCAACCCCTATTTTCTTATTAATTCATTTTATGAAAAGATTTAACACTTTCTTGGTAAAACAATTTGGCGCCGTCTATGGGGACTTTCTAGTTAAAATTTTAGTTTCTTCTAGATAAAAAAAAACGATAGAAACCATCTTTTTCTCGTTTGCACGAACTAACAATGGCAGGAAAGGGGGATGAAAGGCTGAAATCAATAGTGGACGTCACTACCAACCTCTTGAACACCATCGACGAGGTTGACAAAGAAGACGAGGAGAATGTGACGTCTAGCGCAACACCCAGGCGGAGTGACTCACCTCCCCCTCATGGAAGTGTAACCGCTTCACGCGAAAGGGGAGCCTCCACGTCCACGACTGAGAAGCGCCACCAGCAGTGAAAAAACTACTGGAGACGTGGTTGACAAGTACTCTAAACAACATACTCGACAAACCCGTTCAAGGGGCGAGTAGAAGCGCCGCACGAGCGGATACCACAGCAACCGCCAACGAGCAACCCGCTCCCGCTCCTCTCCCAATAGGTAACACTCATGCTGCTATTGATGCAGGTAATGACGCACTTGCGGCCATTCTAAAGAAAATGGAAGAGATGGAGAACGAGCAGGAAACTTCTCGTACCTCTCCAGGTTACCCGACCTATGGGTCCTATACACCGATGGCGCTTCCAACGCGTCGGGATCTGGACTGGGACTCGTACTCGAGGTCCCAACAGGCGAAGTCATCTGCCAGTCCATACAGTGACCCGATATGACTAACAATGAGGCCGAGTACGAGGCCGTAATTACAGGATTAAAGCTAGCTCTCAAGTATAGAGCACGACGAGTCGTCCTCCGATGCGACTCACAACTCATTGTCAACCAAGTCACAGGGACTTTCCAAATCAAAGAGCAGAGGCTACAAAAGTACCAGGCAGAAATTCATAAACTACTGCCAGAAATTCGACGAATGTCAACTCGACTAGATACCTCGAGCACAAAACATCGAGGCAGATGGCCTCGCCAAGTTAGCAGTAGCCACCAAAAACATAAGAAGAAAAGAAAACGTGGTTACCCTCCTCCACTCGTCAATAGACCAACTTGAAGTACACTATGTAAATTTAACTTGGGACTGGCACAACCGTATTATAACATATTTTCAGGAGGGAATACTCCCATCAAACAAAAAAGAATCCAAAAAGCTTCGAATGCAGGCGGCCAAATACAACATCATAAACCACGACCTATACAAAAGAACGTTTGGCGGTCCTTTGGCGAAAGGCCTATGGCCAAACCAAACAAGAAGCATCCTCGAGGAAGTACACGAAGGCCACTGCAGTGCCCATATCGGCAACCGAGCCCTCGTCGGATGCCTCATACGAGCAGGCTATTATTGGCCCACCATGAAGAAGGAAGCCGCCGACTTCGTCAAAAAGTGCGAGCAGTGCCAGAAATATGCTTCTATGATAAGGGCGAGCACCTCCACTCGATCACATCGCCATGGCCATTCATCAAATGGGGAATGGACATCGTGGGACCACTCTCAGCGGGACGAGGTAATGTGCATTTCCTTTTGGTTTTAACTGACTACTTTTCTAAATGGGTAGAAGCAGGTGCATTCGCCCAAATGCACGAACATGAAGTTATCACATTCATATGGAGGAACATCAAATGCCGCATTGGCATCCCCAAAGAAATCGGCTGTGATAACGGACCCCAGTTCACCGGAAAAAAGATCGCCAAATTCTTCGAGAAATGGCACATCAGGCGAATACTCTCCACGCCATATCACTCCTGCAGGCAACGGTCAAGCCGAATCCTCAAACAAAACAATACTAAACATCATGAAGAAGAAACTCGAAGACGCCAAGGGATTATGGCCAGAACTACTACCAGAAGTGCTATGGGCATACCAGTCGAGGTCGGGGAACCAAGTTTGAGATACTCCAACGAGATCGGACCAAGCAGCGACGAGAACAGAAAGCAAGACCTCAACGAAGTGGAAGATCGAAGAGACATGGCTCACATAAGAATGATAGCCCAAAAATAGCGAGCAGAACAGTATTACAACAAAAAGGCCAGAGTAAGACCACTCAAAGTCGGGGACTATGTACTCAAGGCCAAAACACAGGCGAGCAAGTCCCAAGAGAAGGTAAACTAGGAACCAATTGGGATGGGCCATACAAAATCATGGCAGCAGCAAACAAAGGATCATTCCAACTAGAAACAATGGAGGGAAAGTTACTACAAAATAATTGGAATGTCGCCCACCTCAAATACTTCAACTTCTGAGGACGGACGCCTTCCAAGTCATACTCTTTTTCCCTCACCCGGGTTTTATCCCAATTAGGTTTTATCGGGGAGGTTTTTAATGAGGCGACAAAGGAGAAGTCTCGAAGTTCAAGTATAATTCATTGTGTAACGACCCGACC